ATTTTTGATCCCATTCCGCATTGAGTTAATATTATTTAAGTCAATTTGGATCCGTCGTATTTTACAACAGATGAGATGATCAAAAAGTGGTCAAGCGGAAAAGAAGGGAATTTGCGTGCATTGCTTTCAACGCTACATGAGGTTTGTACAAATATAATAAAAAAGCATATAGTAGGTTGTACACAATAGTTTTTTTACCATAGCCAATAGAACAGGAGTTGAATTGTATACAACAGTTTTTTGCTATATGCTATAGACAAAAGTTTATGAGTTAGAGAGGTTGTAGAATACGATAAAAAAGCATATAACAGCTGTTTATGACAAAAAACTGTTGTATGAATCAAAAAAAAATTTTTTTTGCTATAAACATCTAAAAAAGCATATATATAATTGTTTTTTATGATAAAAACTTGTGTCCGAATCAAATTCCTTCTTATTTAAACCAAAACATGTGCTAAAATATTACATATGACGACTAGAAAGTATTTTCCATGATATTGATGGACAATGAAACAACAAGAGGTGTACTCGATATATTAGTTTTGTACTCCAAATAAGTATGGAGCAGGGAACTGCCAAATATAAATGGTTCAAATCATTTGTCACTAACTGGTAATTAGGTTATGTACGACAATTACATGGAAGATAAATTTTCAGCTTAAATATATCTCTTGATTCTGTCAGATAACATGATTTTAACTAAATTCTTGAAATTTCAGATCCTTGAACCTGAAAGTGGTTGGGAACCGGTTCCATTGACAGATATGATGAGCACTCGTGCTGTAAGGAAACATTACGAGAATGCTGAATATCTTACTAGTGCTGTAAGGCTTGTACAACGAGGTGCAAGCACAAGGGAAAAGTATATATGTAGGAAGGTTCTCGAAATCTTAAATGTATGCAGTGTAAGATTCATGCATGTTTGTTTTATGGGCACTCTAGCTTTGGTTTACTCCTTTGTGTTTATGTATTAATTATATGTGAACAGGTGGAAGTGTTGAGATTCGAATCTGAAGAGAAAGTTGTTCAACAAAAAAAGCGCTCTGAAGAGAGACAACAGAATCGTATTCTAGGTAAGAGGTATAATCACCTTGATTAATGGGCCGCATCTTTAATACTGTTCTTTTGTCATGTAACAAACAAGATACCATATGAATGAAAGAGTCTGTTGAGCTTTTTGTTAATCAATTACAATTCATCGTTTAGGAGAAAAATATGATGATGATATCAAAAGGTGGACAAATGGAAGAGAACGTTTCTTGGGTGATATGTTGTCAAACCTACAAGATGTACGTACAATCTTTTTACTTAAATCAAAAAACTTGTCATAAACTAGTTCCTCGTGAGAAGTAGCAAGTATTTTCGATAGAAGTATGCAACAGAGATGAGCATCATATCTCTATTTTCTTTCAAGTAAGGAGATTTTTAACTAAAATCTTGAACTTACAGATACTTGGACCTGA